TTAGAAAATACGACCGTTATCCTCATTCAACAGACGGAGTAGAAGGAAAGAGGGAAGGGGGAAAAAGAGGGAAAATGTGGCTGCATACCTTGCTCTTTATTTAAATTAGTTTGAAACGACCCATAAATCACAAGTCACGTTTTTTGTTACATCCGCGCTTTACGAGGTAGAATAGCCGATGTCAATTCTTTTCAGGAAAAACTTTGTTAAATTCTTACTATTGTCATTTATTCTATGTTTCGTCCGTTCTCCGAATTTCCCTCTGTAGATTTTGAAAAGCGAAAAAAGTTCCCTTTGAACTTTCCCAAATTATATTACATGGTTTATGAGGTATTACTCATCTGGTTCCTTTTTCCTCACATGCACCATTATTTCCACTTTATTTTCAATCTGAGATGTTGTAACAAATTCAAGATTGCTTTTCTTCAGCAGAATTTCGCTGGGAAACATAAAATTGGAGATATTTTTAAACTCGTATTTAGGGTATTCTCTACTTGAAGTTTTTGATTGATACAAAGCAGAATGTTTCTACTTATCGCATCTCTTACGATCCGCGTGTATTAACTGTTAGTTTTTCTATTTTTAACATCACAAACATCGAACCTTTATCCTTTATTCAGGGATATTATTTTGAGAGGTACAAATCGTTTTACGTAAAACTGGCTTTACCGTCGTTTATTTTACTCTTTACCGATGTACCCCCTCTATTTCTCTCTTTTTCTCTACTCTACTCTCCCTCTTCCTCTCGTTTGCTATGCATTTCTCTTCTCGGCTTGCCTTTCTCTCTCCGTTCGCGCTTAACGTACAAAAGCTTCTCTGGCGACCGGCGACGCGGTCGATACTCATGGCGTATCGCCCCTAGCTGACCGAGCTTCACCCTTACCCTTACCCTTACCTTACCGAACCCTTAGACAGATCCACCACCTCGTTCTCCGCATCACTTGGCTATAATGCTCTTCCGCTTGCACGCGAAGTAGCGACATAGCGACGTACCCAGCTGGTACCTTTCGATAGTTGTTATTTTTCTGGAAAGAATTTGAGGCGTTTCTCTTTCATAAAAACAACACTGGTACCTTTCGATAGCTGTTATTTTTTTGGAAAAAATTTGAGGCGTTTCAAATTTTATTTATATCGTCGTTTATTTTATACATATATATCGTCGGCCTAATTAGAAGAACTTTCCAACTCACACAATCACGTAACTTTGGATAACCATGGAATTAGGACGTGGGAGAATCACTTTAGGGAGTTAGAAGGTTTTTCAAGGTTGGAAGGTTTTTCTTTTTAATTTTTTTAAATGATAAATTACTGTTTAATAATTTTTCTAAACGGTGCACAATTTTAAAATAAATTGACCAAAATAAATATTCATTCAATCAATTTTGTAAAAAATTGGAGTCAGAAGGTTTTCCTTTAGGTCCAATTAGGTGGACGATAGATATATATTCAGAGAATTAAGACAAATTTTGTAAATCATAAAAACTCGTTTGATTTTCAAATTAACCCTTTGTGTAATAATGAGGATTATTTTCGTTTTTTTTCTTTACGAAGGAAATATTAATTTTCTTAATTGCATAAGAGCTCAATTCAAGTTACTTGAAGAATCCATAGAAAACAGATACCTTGTCATTCTGGCAATGAGATAATATTTCGATCCGAAGAAAAACAAATATATTCATGTAAGAGCACGTTTTATATCAAATATTAGGTTTTATTTCAGAAACGAAATTTTCTTAGTATCTTTGTTTACCTATAATATCTAATTTTATTGTTAGTTATTATTTTCAATATCTCTCAAAGACCTCTTTGTCTAAATGTCAATGTTTAGGGAACTTTTATTCACGCAGTGAAAAAAAATTCGTTATCGTAGCTAATCATGGTTTGTTAAAAATATTTTGCTACTGTAACTATAAATTTCTAAACCAGAGTAAACGATTCGCTGTTGCACCCAACACAATAGGCACAGTAGGAAAATATTTAGCTATCACAACTAAATATTAGTTGTCCATATTTTACAATTGAAATTTAAATTGCCACGTGCGGTTTTCAGCTACGGTAACTACATTTTTTTTCGTGCGATTAATCTCTTTTGTATAATTTTGTAAAAAGGTAGAACGAATTTGTTTTAAACGCTTTACTATTTTGCAATTATTTGTCGTTTATATAATATTGTTAATATTACGATTATTTTCATGAAACTGATAAACTCGCCGAACTTTTTGAGCAAATTTGGTAATTGTGGTGTTAAGCGATCGCTGAAACAGGTTTAGATCAGCGAATCCGCCGCTGAATAGCATTACCCAATGACAAGGCCAAAAAGGAAATTTGCTTTCAAACCCGTTGGCACATGACTCGCTATTGCTCTTTTGGACAATCTTTTCTCTCGTGGGATGTCTACAGCGATAATATACACGTGATATTTTACGTGATTTTTAATTCAATTTTTTTAAAGAAATAAAAACATTTGTTTAAAAGGGTGAAAATTTTCAATTTTACGTATAAAGTTAGTAGTTTTTATTATATAATTATATAATGTAATTATATATATTGAATTATGTTTATTTCAAATTGTATTGGAATACATTTCTTATACAATCATCGAATATGCAGATGTGATAAGAAAAAATATAGATACGCTGTTTTTATCTCTGCATCATCAAAGATTTTTACATTTAAGACTTTCTAGACTGGTACTTTGTACTGAATTTGTTTTTACTTCTGGATAATCGGTCGATGAATTTAGTTGACATAATTGCTCGCCCGTATTTTCGTAGATCATAGTAATTGGCTATAAAAAATATGCACAACGTATTCGCACGCACATTAACATTATAATTTTACAAACACGCAGTTAAGTGTAAAAATATATGCACATACTCTCTAAAAGTCAATCAGTGCATTACCACCGAAAACAGTTGTAAGTATAGCACTGAATTATTCAGTGAATATTTATTGTTTTCAGCGATAATCCACTGATTGACTTTTACAGAGTATATTTTGTATCTTGACAAGTTTTTTTATATGAATGGTGTTTGTATTTGTCTATTTTTTGTTTTTTTGTTTTATATGAATACGCATTCCAAATTCCGTTGTATCAAATAGCAAAACCTATATTTTTTATCGTGCGTGCAAGTTTCATTAAATCATCTGCATATTTTTCATTGTAGCGTAATCAAATAAATTCTACAAAGCGCGTATCAACGCGACTGAATAAATACATGTATGCATATACATACTTTATGGAATTTGAAATTATGTTGCAATGGAAAATGTAACGATGTAAATGTGTAGTTGTTTTTCATACCACGCGTCTCTAGATTCCAAAATTCTGAAGTAGTTTTATGGAAAAGAGGAAAACAGGTGATATTCTGAATTCATTTGTGAAGAAATTGTTTCGTCGTGTTGTTTTTCGCGTACCAAGCCTCGGCTACTTTTGTTCCAAATTTCGTAAAATCTAATCGGTCGCGAGAGAAGGCGAGGTCGATCCGTCTCCCGCGTGAAAGTCGCAGTCGAAGCGGTTTTCGCAAACTCGCGCAACCATAAGCACAGGAACGATGCATCGTGACTTTGAACTCGCTGTCGCATCAAGCGTTCGGTGCACTCGCGCTCTACGATCCGCGAGCGCTCGCCTCTGTCCTCACCTCCCCGTGGAGGTTACGTCACCAGCATTCAGTTAGGCGAGGTCGGGATCAGTGCGGCGCGCGGGCTCCGGGTCACGATTCGCCTTTATCCACTTTAGACTTGAACACTCGCGTGGTGACCACTTAAGTTGACGCCTCGAAAACCGAGCCTGCCACGTGAGCCTGACATTCGGGAGGGCTCGGACATTTTACGGTTATTTTCCAGGATCTTATCTTATTTAGGCCGAGGAAAATATCAGATATCAACGAATATATGTAGAGGACAGTTCCCTATAGTGAGATAGGGTTCTAATATAAGATAGCTGGTTTTTACATCCAAATTCAATTACGATCTTTTTTCGCGGCGGTTACACAATCCAACAATGAATTTTCCATTAAACAGATCTCACTCCTAGGGCACTAAAATTCATGATGGAACCAGCAGACGATGCCTATTAATTTTTTAGAAATTTCGCTGTCTCATATTTCGAGCCTGTCTCATAATAGGGGACTTTCCTCTATGTGTCTCACAGAAGCTTTTTTTATCTTTATCATATTAGACAAGTTTTTAAATATTAACATAGCGAGAGAGATAGGCAAGTGAATTTTTGATAAACGAGCTTGGTAAATAAAAATGTTTATTTTAAATTAATATTGTACAATGAGCTGCGGGGAAGTTGCTTATTTAATTTATTCTTTCTGACATAATGTGGCCGCGGCGAGAGATCAAGAGTCTTGAATGCACGGAATTTATTTCTTTGTCGGCGTAAAAAACAATGCAAAATTAGTAGAACTGAAGATCCGATGTAACGCCATATATAAAGTAGTGGTTGAACATACACTATTGAAATTGTTCTCTTATAAATCTTTCAGTTTTTACGAATTTTATTCACGTGGAAACGGATTCGTTACTCGTAAACCTCGACAATCGCATCAATCGGGGCATCGATTCCGCGTTCTCCATAGCATCTGTCCTCGTTCTAAAATATACGATGTAGGTATATTTTTAAGAACAGGGAGCTGTATATGAACACGTGTGGGTGCGTGCACGATGGGTCAGTGGGACGCGATGTTAATTACACCGTTGCGCTTATTGCAGAAGCAAGAATTTCGCCGATGCGTTACTAGAACGAGTAATGTAGTGCATTACGAAACCGTTAATCTTGTCGGAAACTTTTAATTTTCTAATGCAAGTGGCGCTTCCTCCTATCCCTTTGCAGGGCAGAGGGAAGGAATAGCGTTACAGGAAAGATAGATGAAAGGAAAGAGAGAGAGAGAGAGACTCCCCTCTCTCCTGGGAATCTCGTGTCAACACGCGCGCTTCAGGGTGTTCACTGACCTCCGGGGGCTCATGACCTGTTCTCCTTTTTCGTGTTTCAGATCGCTCCCTCGACAAAAAAGCTCTGGGGCGTGGACGAGGGCGGCTCCAAGGACGAAGGGGGTGTAAAAGGCGGTGGGACCCTGCTTCACCTGGGCGACCACCCGACTACCATGTGGCGGGATTCCACCTGGAGTACGACGTCAGGTACGATTTGCGCACAATCGAATTGCCGATGCGTCGTTCGTTAGCGGAATTTTGATCGGCCTGGACGACGGAAGTACTTACGAAGCTCGAGCACGGCTGAGCGGAGTAATCTAAATCGTTTGGCTAAGCACACAAGGGTCACAAACAGCTGACGCGTAACGCCTACGCTGGCTACATTCGTGTATTGTACGCGGGACGCAGCACCATGCAATAATGTCCTATTAAATTGCTATAGCAGCATCGGTGACAATTTCAATGTTGCGACGCATATTCGTACATATAACACAATACTCCGTTTTCATACGTTCCACGTGCTCCAAGAAACGCTAACGATTGAAAAAGCCAAGTCGTGCTAATAAGAGTTGAACCGTATCCTATCGTGGCGCGAATCGTTGGAAACTTGGTCGTTAGTTTAACAATCGTTAACGAAGGGAGGTTGTCAAACTGGATCGGGAGAATCGCTTTCGGCGTTAGATGAGCACGTCGATCGATCACACACCGATGTCTGCGAAAGGCGACATATTTGTACTCTCTAAAATTTCTGGAGTTAAATTTTCACTCGAATCATGGTGTCACTGACCACTTAACTCTATTCGAATGACTATTATATATTTACTCCAATAGAGTGAATTAATTCACTCTAAGACAACAAGCAAAGAATTGCACTCTTACTTTTCAAGTGAAGTTGTTAGCACTTCAAAATTCACTCCAACTTAAAGTACGGTATTCCGCCACTAGATGGCCGCCGAACTCGTAAGTAATAAGCCCGTATCAGACTACAGACTCCCGACTCTGACTCTACTACTGACTCGGACTCCCGACTATGATTCAACCAATTAGAGTGGCGTCTATTCGCGAGTTGGCAGTCGAGGTCGGCCGGTGCTTTGCTGTGATTAGTTGAATGATAGTCGGGAGCCCGAGTCAGTAGACGAGTCAGAGTCGGGAGTCTGTAGTCTGATACGGGCTTTAGGGACCCCGTGACGGGCCGGGACGGTTCTTTTTCCGCGACAATCAGCAGAATAAGCGAAATGTCACATAGTATAGATTTTCAGTGCTGGCTGTGAATATTAGAATACTCTATATGCGATGATCATAGCGAGCAAACAAAGCGGAGCTCTCGTCCATGAATTTTATACTGCTAATAATAATCGATTGAAGTAAAACATAGCACTCATTTCAGAGTTGAAGAATCAATTCAAGTAAAGAGTGAATAACGGCCCTCTTTCAAAAAGTGAAATTGCACTCCAGTCGGACTGGTAGTATTTTCATTATTTCTTCACTCACTCCGAAAGAGTGAGATTCTACTCCAAATAATTTAGAGAGTGTAAGAAAGACGGGATACGAAGCAATGTCGCGTATTTTACGTCGTGCGCGCTTATTGATTGATACAGCAGTAAAAGAACAACATGTAGATACATATACGCAGCTCGCTCGCCGCCGCCATCGCCTTCCGTTGAAGGGAGGGTGAGAAAGGAGCGAAGGGGGGGAGGGTAGAACCGAGCTTTTTCACAGCGTATTCGATCGATTAAATGACAACACCGGCTAAATTGAAAATAATTTTGAAAAATTTCTTCCCGTATCAGTTTTACTTTAATTCTCTTCAGACAGAATTTCTATCGTAATTTGACATTTTATCTTCTGATGCATTTTTAACGATGTATTACAAATGGCGAGCCACATAAAAGGTTGAGATATGGGAATTCTTAGCGTCTTATACTTTAATATGTTATGATTGCCAAGAGCCTGCTCTAACAATATCATGTTATCAGTATATGGTGATATGACAGTCGACGTGTTAAATTGGATACGGAGATTTTTTTTACTCGATATATTTGCCATTTCCAGAGTACTCTTTTTGTGCTGTCATATCTAATATTTAATCACAATTATACTTGATAGCTTGATAACGTGGCGTTTTCATGTGATATGATAATTGGTTTAGCCGTTTGATCGATGAAACGCGTGACACGTTAATAAATACAGATGGCACAGCCGCGTACGCGCATATGTTAACACGTAAATTCTTTGATTTACTTACAAGATGTATAATTGCAGGAAAAAATTCTCTTTTGTTGATATCTTGAATAGTTCTAAACGCATATCAGATTATTTGCGATGACTAATGCAGTGTCATTTTCTCCGGTTGTAAAACATAATGCATAAAGGAAAGTCCTCTATTATGAGATAGGCTTTTAATATAAAATAGCAGGTTTTCAACATCCAAATTCAATTGCAACTCTTGCTTCACGACGGTTACACGATCTAACAATGCATTTTCCATTAAACAGATTTCACTCTAAGGGCAATAAGTTCATGATGGAACCAACAAATGTCTATTAATTTAGCAGAAACCTCGCAATCTCATGTTAGGGCACTTATCTCTAGTAATCGTGTATTGTGTGAAACAATATCTGATTTTTAAAAGTAAAACTCTTACGCGAATAAAATGGAAAATACTGAAAATTTAAATAGTGTTAAAAAAGAGGAAGATATTTGTCTAAAAGTTGCAGAAGATATTTAGCGATGGATTGACTTATACGTTAATCAAGTCTTTGAGGTTCGAATATTATTTGAGGTTCTGGAATCCTAAAAGAACGTAAATGTTCACACACAATTCACACTTTTAAAAATACTATTAGAAAGTATATGTATCATCATTAGACACATGCTATGTACATTGGTCACGTAGATTTTGACACTTTTATACTCCAAGTCAGTAGACACTTCTACGTTAAACAGATTCGTCCAAATACTTGTATCCCTTTACTTTAACACAAAATCTACTGTTTATTCTTTTCTGCTACGTTTACTGATGCCACAAATGTCTGCCTAAGTTTCTGAATGCATAAGTATCAGATATGATTCAATCTGATCTAAAAATAGCGAATGAATATTAAGACCTATGTGATGTCAGTGTATATATCGGTGGTACGTGAAATAATAATTTTTTTGCAAGTACAAGTGATTGTGATTACTGATTGCGCAGGTGGACGTGGACGTGGATAGGTGGATGTAAATGTTGATGCACGAGCGTGCGCGTGTGGATGTGGTATGGGTATGGATACGGAAGGGGATGTAGATGTAGTATGGGTGTGGATGGGGATGAGATGAGGATGTGGATATGGATGTGTGGTGTAGATGCGAGTGCGGATGGGGACGTGGATGTACATGTATGAATATGGATGCGGATGGGGATGTGGATATAGATATGGATAGGGATATGGTGGTGGCGGTGGTAGCAGCCGTCGTGTGTGCGTCACACCACGATGGGTGCAACGCGGTTGTTGCCATGGCGACAGACGCCCGGCATCAGAGGCGGCAGTAGGGGCAACGTCCCAACGCCCAGGATCGTACCTACTGATCCACCCCGTTAGCGAGCACCCCGACCGACTACCAACCCCTCAAACCGATTGTCCAGCTGACCCGCGCATCGTTGTACCATGGTATAACTAGTAGGTTCACTCTCTGTTGACCCTTTGATCTTTTCGATTCCGATCACGTGGTACTCCGCCATGTCTTTGGTCCAAATCCAACGGCGCGTGTGTGTGTGTACGTACTGTAGTTGTATGTGTAGCTTTGATGCTCCACCACACATACAGCTGTTCTCTCATCGGCTGGATCCATAAAATGTTGAATACGCTGAAGGAATCGACGCAAAACAAAACAAATGACGAGGTGGACCTATTAGTTGTACCGTGGTTGTACTGGCATCACATAGGGTCGCGCGGGTGAAAGAGCAAAAAAATATCTCTATCTATGTGAGAACCCTGTGGTGAATAAAATCTTGTTCGATAATGACCGTGGTTGCTTCTCGATGGCTTCTCGATGGATCAAATATCTATTTGAATAAATTCTGCCCGTTGTTTCTCCTCTGTCTTCCTCTTTCTTTTCGTATTCATAAAGTTCTCTCTGAAGAAACCTGTTGTCAATTTCAGAATTTAAATGAATCCTTTTCTATCTATGAATGCGAGTCAAGGAATCGGATTTATAAAAATATGTTTCACAAATGTGTCTTGTAATCTAGTACCTTGTTTTTCTCCGAAGTATTTTAAAATTCCTCAGGTCTTTAATTCACGACTGTATTTGAGTTAAAAAACTTTACCTTTGATGTCGTAATCCAATATAACCGCAGAGAAGAACATCTGAAAGATGAAGATTACTTGTGTTGCTCTGAAAAATTGCAGAAACTTGATAATACGTGATCTTTTTCTGTTTTATTAAATAAATTTTTTTTTATTTAGTTTTTTCATGCGCGGTGTCTATTTTTTGTAGAATTCAGAAGTATAGCGACACATGCGAGAAGCGCATAGAAATGCAAAGCTCGAATAAAAGTTGCGAAATCATGTACAAATTGCAAGAGAAGGCTATTTCTTGACGATATATGTTTCGTGTATATATACATATTTGTGTCTATTGATCCTCCTGTATATGGACTCGTATTTGTGTTGGGAGTAGTAGCATGTGTACACTGGTTTTTTCAAATAGAGAACACTATTCCTTATTGCGTCATTTATACAATGCTTTATATTTAAATTGGCTAATCATTGGGAATCGGACAAGTTTTTCGATGAACTTTTGTGTTCAATTAACAACTTTTAAATATACAATATACCAAAGAGTATCTTAGGACAAATCCGATATTTAAAGACGAAAAGTTAGAGTTTCTCCGTTTCTGCAAATCGTAATATACATGGCCAATCGAAGAAAAATATTCGCTATTATTGGGACTTGAATTTGAATTGTGTCAGTTCGTCTTACTTAAAGAAATATGTCTTTGTGTATCGCACAAGTAATCTATGTAAATATTGTTACGTGTGTTTGTCCTTCACAGATCATGCGGTGTCTCAACCAATTTCAATGGGTACGGGCAGACGTGTGGGAGTTGGAACGGGATATCACCACCAGGCGTCAGAAGTCGGAACAGTGCTTAGTCCTAGGAGCAGGTTCGTGTTTTTATGTTGTTGTATTGTTCCCGTGTGTTACATGTTTTTGCCGGTAGATTCTGAACGCCAAAATAAAACGCAATATCTGCTTCAATGTCGAGACATTGATAACTTCTACTTGTAAGAACGTGAAAGTTTACAAACTAACATTTAAGGATTATTTATCTACATATAGATGACAAAATATTGTGTATAGTTTGATCAAGTTGGTTTTATTCTAATAAAATTTCAGTGAAAGTATCGTTAAGTGATTATGATGATTGATATTAAAATTACACAAAGATTGTCGTGAAAACACACGTTGGCGAAATGTTTGTTGAATGAGAGTAGACTGTAAAGTATTCGATAAGTTTCGAGAGAAAGATTTCAAGTTTCTATAATATTTTTTTCAGTCTGTGCTTGTGCTATTCCACTAGCGATATTATTAACAATGCATTGTCTTTCTTACAGTGAAACAGGTGGTTTGGGGGTCAAAATGGTTGAATACGTTCTTGGATCGAGTCCCACTACACCAAAAGATTTGGAACAACGAATGGTGTCTTTGAGATTGGTGAGTATTATATGATTATGTAAACTCTATTATCTAGCCTTTTATGTTTATATGTACTGTTATTTTATTTTGGTTTTCTATATACAGAATGATGGAGACAAGAAAGAAAAAGAAAAAGGTTCAGCAAGTCCTTTCGATAGCACAAAAGATGATACTGGACCACAGGGTAATGGATTAGCTTCGCAAAATGGTTTAGACGACGACAAAGGATTTAAGTAAGTTCCACTATGTTTTGCTGGTTAAATTATTTAATATCAAGCACGATGTGTTTATCTCATATTATCTCTTGAAACACAGACCAACGTGACGTTGATCTTGTTCGCTTTTTGCGATATTTTAATGTTTAGAATCAAATCCCTGCAATTAATCTCGAAATTAAGATTTTGGCAAAGTGATTAAGTGAAGAAAAATCTTTTGTATTTATTTTTATTTGTATACTAATGTTTTAATTTTTGTTTAGGTTTGTTTTTCTAAAAAATAACTTTGAAAGGAGTTTAAAACATTAGGACAAAAATCGTAGTATAATTCATAAGAGTATGTATGAGCCATCGAATAATTCATTATTGCAGCGCAGCAAGAGCTATGATTTGTCGCTATATTTTATGATGAGGGATATGTAACTTTTTATTTGTTGTATCTGTTGTAATTATCCTAATAAAATAGCGATAGGTGACAGGGGTCATGCTCTACACATGGTCTGTAACATCACATTTTCTTGGTTCTTTTCGCGATAGCTCTTCGCTCAATTCTCAGTAATGTTGCGCCATCAGTAGTTCACGATAGAAAACACAATCGACAACGACGTTACCGACGTTGTTTTTCTGCTTCTATTGCGTCTGCGCGCTGTTTGCTCGCATTCTGTACAGCGAATAGAAATATTCTTCTATTTTTATTAAATTAAATTACTTTATTCAGTTCAAATCCCAGTAGATTAAAGTTTTCAAAAATGCATTGGAGGGCTTGAGAGTACGGTTTTAAGTCTTACTTCTAAATCATAGTTAACAAAAAGGTAGAAAACTTGGAATAGGTCTGAGGATGACTTTGTTTCGATCTTTTTTAATTGAGGGTATCCGTATCAGATCTAAATAAACACATATATTTGTCGCGTTTCCTCGATGCATTGGAGAAGAAAATTAATAGGAGGAACGTTATTATCCATGTCATTATGATAATGACATTATTTCATCGTTGATGTTCATAAGTATTATACTTTCTTTTCTCATGGGATGTAAGGCGAGTCGTCTAACCTGCAGATTGCCTGTTACGTATGCCGCATTATGCAAAGTGCGCCGTTACATGACACGTAATCGATTGCGTATATGTGGAATCTTGAGTTTAATGTTTCTTTGTGAAATTATTATTTCAGTGGATTTATTGTAGGGATTTTCAACTCTTAACATACATAATGGAAATAAGCCTTTCTGTATTTACTTCTAACCAGATAATGATTCTATTAGTCAAAAATAATATTAAAGGAACTAAATAACAAAGAGTTTGTATAATTGAATATAAAATTCAATAGTTGAGAAAAAATAACTTCAGAAACGGCGCTGCACGTTAAAATCAATGTGTTTATTATAAATTTAGCTTTGGAAATTGATTTTATGTTCGCTGAGCACATCGCGTTCGTTCGTCACTTGCAATGAGGTCCTTGACATTTACAGTTGCCGTTTACAATTGCTCTTGAGAAAATCACGTCAGTTTCTTTATACAGAAAAAATAATATATGATTCTCATGCTTACTATCAACTTGTAGACTTGTTTCAACTGTGACTAAATATTTATTGTAATCGATGTAGGTGAACAAAGCTATTACCTACTTAATTTAATTACTTTTTGTACATACAATTTAATCTAACAATAAGTTAGCTATTGTTATGCTCTTTAGCCAATCCGATTGATTATTATATCTCTGTTGCAGCCGCACACCTGGGAGCCGACAGCCGTCACCAGGCGAAGAGGAATTTCAAAAGAATGCTGCCGCTACTCTGGCTGCGAGCGCCAGTGGTGGTGCTAACGTCGTGCTGCTGAAACCCGGAATCGACGTTGTCGGCAGCGAGGAACATTTTATGGCGGCATTTGCGCCGGCACCACCGCACCATCTGCAGCATCACCAGGCGCCGCCGACTCATCATCTACAACATCCGCACTCGCACGCTGCGCAGCTCTTTGGGGCGCAAGCTCCGCCGCCGCCTCAGGGCCCACCACCCTCGCAGCAACAGCAACAGCAACAAGGTCCTCCGCAGCCGCAAGACACCCCTACGCACTTTGACGTCCAGGTAAGTCTAGTCTAGCTTTTTGGCTTTCTTTTTTTTCCCTTTTCTAGGCGCTACCGAACGGAGAGAGACTTGTGCGCCCGTCGTCGCGCAAAATGAAACAAACGAATGTTGTCGACATTATTTGGGTAGAAATATAAGACAATTTCGTTGCAAAGTTTGCAAACGCAGACTGCGAAAGTCTTTTTAGTACCAATTGTTGAACACACTGCGCGAATTCCCGACGTTATATTATTCCTGTTGAACACTCATTCACCATCTTAATGCTAATTGATAATAGGAAAATTACAAAAATTATAAATTATTAAATAACACGCGATGAGGTTAACATGATAAAATATTTTAATAAATCTAAAATAAAATGTATTATGTGAAAGGTTTTGAAGCTTGGTTAAATTAATAGGTTAATAGGTTTTTATTCAGCTCTATTTTAATTTTTTTTAACTTAATTACGCAATACGTTGTAATAACAAAGTTGTGTACAGTTTGTGCTATTAATAGTAAATTCGATAGTTATTCTACAGCAAATTAAATACCAAACAAAACATCGCGATTGAAGGAAAAGTGACAATGTAGATTATAATTTAGTACGAAAAGAATTATTGAAAATGCACCTCTATATTTTATTTACAAATGAAATTTATGATATGCACTAGGTTTAAAATATCGCTTTATAAGTGGTGAAAACTAACTACGTACAAATATACATTAGGGTTCGCTATTATACGTTTAAACACAAATGTGTTTATATGTTCGATCAGTATATTTGTTTATTAGAAACGTTTTTCCCAATACACGTTTATGCTTCATTATTATACGTTTAAGGGGGGTACACTATTAAAATGTCTTTTTTTTACTTTTTTAAATTGAAGTTTGAAGTATAAAATATGGTATTTTCAATGCCCGAAGTCAAAATTTTTAATATTTACGGTGCTGGAATTTGTTTGCATGAGCGCTCTGTAGCGCTGTGCGCCTACAGGGCCTATTTTTACACTGTATCTTATTTTGCTATAGGTTTTTATGGGTTGAACGGGCTTATAAATAAAATAAATTTGTGTCGATCTTAATTGACTCAGGTTTAATATATGTATATTAATAGTGCGACGTTTCGACCATTGGTTTTGGTCCTTTTCAATCGTGATCTAAAGAGATTACCATAACGTTAAAAATAGAAAATTTAAAAGTGTGGAATAATATAATATTAAATAAAAATTAAATAAGACTTATAAATGTTGACACTTTTCATAAAAATTCGCATTGGTGTGACTTGAAAACATGATACCATATAGTTCATGCTAACCGTTATTTCACGTATTGCATTATTTCAAGCTTTAAACGCGTTTTTCTCGAAACCGTGTTTTTGACCCGGTAAAAAAAATTTAAATAAAATAATAAATTTTGTGTAAAATTAACACTTTTTAATGACAAAATGAAATTTAAAAATGTAATTTTTTCATTTTACAGATGTAATAAGTTAAATGACGGTTCGAAATCACTCTTACTTATGTTATAGAATAAAATCAACATTTTATTCTGTAAATTTCAACAGATAAATCTTGTTACTAATAATATAGAACATATGTATTGTGTAAGATAAAAAATACGTACACATTGCGTTGTTTTAACATTTCTTTTTACTTATTTTAATAATTTTACATTTGAGATCAATTAACACAAGAGCAATATGTTAAAATAACACATAATGTGTTAAACATTTGACATAAAAATTTTAACCGGCATGTTTTTTTTAACAAGAAAACACAAATTTTTCTGACTGTACGATTATACCAATTTACTTTGTAGTACAAGTATTATATATGCATACAAGACAGACTAAAAAAATATCTCTCTCTCTCTTTCCTAGTATTCATACGACGATCAAACGGATTTACCTGAACGTTAATAATGTTAATTTACAAAGAATTTTTCTCTGAGTTATAAAACGGTTACGATGCCACGTTGCAATGCCGTAATGCAGTTATTACGGAGAGATTAATCTCTCGATTATGTAGTTAAATGCTCGCTCTTTTGAGGAGCACACTCCCGATTTGTACCGCTTAGCTTTGTCGCCGCACTTTTCTCGCGCGGTTTTTCTTCCGGGAAAATTTTTCTAGTTTCGCACGATTCCTCGAAGTAAGTTACTGAAGATTTCAAATGTAATCATGCAAAAGACATTGCGGGACTTGCCATCAAGCGTCCAGCTTTTATATCGGGTACTTTCATCAACTTTTTTTCATCTCTTGAAATGAAAAAAAATGATTTGCAAAGTGATCAATCTTGCTGCAGTTTAAATTAGTATGAATTTTATTTGCCATGAATGTTTACCGCGATGTTATACATTTATAAAGTTGAAGAAAACTTTTAAGAAAAGCGAATCCTGGGGAAAAATTAAAGAAACTGCAAATTTTATTTTAATAAGGGGGAAACATTAGCATTCCTTACGTATTTATCAAAAGATTCAGCGACTTGACTATCAATAGTCTCTAGGATAACTACTGTGTTTAGTCTAACAATATCCTACACAGTTGGGAAATTTGTGTTTTCTTGTTAAAAAATTACCGGTTAAAATTTTTGTGTTAAATGTTTAACACATTCATGTGTTAATTTAACATATTGCTCTTGTGTTAATTGACCTCAAACATAAAATTATTAAAATACTGAAAAGAAATGTTAAAACAACACAATGTGTACTTACTCTTTAATCTTACACAATACATATGTTCTATATTATTATTAACAAGATTTATCTGTTAAAATTTACAGAATAAAATGGTGATTTTATTCTATATAACATAAGTGAGAGTGATTTCGAACCGTCATTTAACTTATTACATCTGTAAAATGTAAAAAACTACATTTTTTAAATTTCATTTTGTCATTAAAGAATGTGCTAATTTTACACAAAATTTATTGCAAATTATTTTGAAATTGCATTTATTTTGCGTTAAAATATTAACAGAGTATTAGTGTAATCATTTAACATATTCATATTATGTTAAATTAACACAAACATTTGTGTGGATCGTTTGGGACGTGCGATATCTGTTAAATTTAACGCAAACTTTTCAACTGCGTAATGACATTTACAACGATTTTGACGTTATTCTTTTGTAACAAATGACTACGGTGACGGTGATTCCAGATCAGTCTGAATGCGAAATAGAATTGAAACGGTGAATTACTTCCTGGCCTCTAGTCGCACTCGAATGAGACGCGATTAAAGCATTACTATTTTCGAGTATAGCCAAGCCAGAGAAAATAGCCACGTCGTTTTGCGCACGTGCGTCATGTGACGTCCTATTCGTTCGTCCGTCCGTTCTCGATGACAGAATCGACTAGTTTGGCTTCGATTCGTACATTCATCTATCTTGCATCTTCGTCTTTCATATGCGATCAGGGTGTATTATCGGCAAGGATAAATAGTCTATCTCATTTATTCTTCTAGTTGATCCGAACCCCCACGTTTCCGAGTAAAAACGATCCATTGAACCCCTCATCTTATTTTAGGATATGTCCTTGCCTGTGGCTTAATGACGTGAGACACGAGATAGGCCGCGTGTGACATTTTAACCAAATGGGCGCGCTTTTTGCTCGTCTTTTCGGCCGGCCGGCAGTGATAGCCTCGCGGCCTTGATAACGTACATTCTCGAGGACATACTTTTTCCATTCTTCACCCCACAAAAGCGGTCCTCGTGTGTCGATAATGACTACTGGCGATCCGCGCGCGGGTTTTAAAGAGAGACGTGGCGGCCGTGGACGAACGTATAAATCATTGAGTGACAGCTCCTCGACGTGTCTACTTTGAGTGCCTATTCAGAAAATAGAACGGCAAGTATATCGGTACCGCCGGAGAGCGGTGGTCCTGCATCTCGTCAAGTGCTCCAACTCAGGCATGTCATGGAGCGCGCATTCTCGCCGCGATATTAATTGTGCCGTTATTTAGATTTCTGTCGTTCATAAGTCTTTTCGAAAATTGACAAAGTCTCATCGCGGCGGCACCTCTCTCGATAATATCCCACGCTCTCGCGGTCCCTTTTTTTTTATAAAGAGCGTACAAGAGTGACTCGTAGTGACGGAGAATTGAAGCGGCAGAACCACGAGTGTAAACCGAGGCAACGATTGTAACGCTTTCTCGTCTACGGGAAATGGTTGCAAGCGGTGGCCATTGTTCGTGGGGGAAAAAGCCGCGACAGCGGTTTCCGCGCGGAGAAGAGGCGAGTTGACTATCATCTACAATGCTACCGCGTGTACCACGTTGAGAATATTTGTCAGCATCTCTCTGTTAATTATAAAAAAAACACGTACGTAAAATACCCAGTAGATATTGACAAGTAGAGGAGAGGCCTCTATTACGTGATAGGCTCCTAATATGAGATAGCGGGATGTCTGCTAAATTAATAGGCGTCATCTGTTGGTTCCACCATGAATTTATTGCCCATGGAGTGAAATCTGTTTCGTGAAAAATTCATTAGTAGATCGTGCGTGTAATTGCGAAAAATGATTTGTGAAATTGGATGTAAAAAAATTGCGCCATTTCATTTTACGAGTCTATCTCATAATAGGGGACTTTCCTCTATATTTATCCGTTTGCTTGGAGATATGCCTGAAGATTTCCGAATACGTCCCGAAAATATTGTCACGCAAGAGAGGATTGAGATATTTTGCTAACGCTGTGAAAAGTACCGCGCTGCCGATCTTCTCGGTCTTCGCCCCTCTCTCTTTCTCTCTCTTCCTCTTCTTACCCTCGCTCGGCGTCTCCTCACGCCTCGATGAGAACGCAAAATGCGGCGTAAAGTCGCCGGCGACCGTAGGCCGGGACTAGATGTCTGGAAAAAGATAGACGCGACACGGCACTCCGTATTAATTTTACGCGACGAACGAGTTGTACTTCCGTGGACGCACGTACCGCTTAGGGCAAGAGTGAGCCCATTTTTCTGGCCAAACACGACAGTACGCTTAATCTTCCTAGTCACCGAGAATTTTCCATAAGGGAAAAAAAATTG